GAATTATTTTAGTAAATATTATAATTATAAGTAAAATTATTGAATACATTTTCCTTATTAGTCAAAAACTTAAGTTAACATTTTATGATAAATTTCGTACATTCTATACAAAAAAACAAACCCGTAATTGCATATAGTTATGTTTATTATGATGCCTATACACACGAATTGAAGGAGTTATTTGTTTGTCGTTTTTTTCTAAGTAACTTACATTATATGTTTAAGAAATTAAGGATTACAGTTAAAACGTCTTAAAAAATACTAATTTGTTCTTTGATAAATTTTCATTGTTTTTATTTCAATTTTACATACAATATGGATATATATATATATATATTATTATAATTCCCAATACCTAAGTCATTTCCAACAGCCTTAATGTTTAATTATTTAGTATCTGAACTATCTGAATTGCATTTAAATACTTAATATTTTATGTTTTGAGCTAAGTAAAATTGTGTATGGTTTTAATTTTGTATATTTTTATGGACATTTTCTATGGTAGATCACTATTAAGCACCAATCATAATATATAGCGTATAATAATATTGATAATATAAATTATACCATTTAAATATAAGAAAGTAATTTGACTTTTGAAAGTAGTTTTATAATTTAAATTTTCTATTGAATAGTATGGAAATTCAAGTTCCAATAGAATCCAAATTTTAATACAAAGTTCAACATCCAGTGTGTGATATGTTATCGCAAAATAAAAAAAATTGAACGTGGGAATTATTTCAATACAAAACTTTTGCACTTTAATAAATCAAAAAATCAGATATTATTTAATTATTAAATGTATTAAGACAATCACCGTTTAAAATTGTTGCTGTGGTAAAATTTATTAATTATTTCATTCACCTAATTTGTATAGAGTTATATTGTATTCGTGATGCATATTGAATTGTTTTATAGAAGTTACAATTTGATATCCAAACATTGTTTAGCAAGGTGAGCACTATAGAATCGTTTATTTCAAGCAACATATTGATCGTATTATAACGAACAGATCGTTGGTTCTAAATTCATAATTATATTAGTTTAACTAACAACATCTACGCCATACTTATTTCTTGCCTATATTATAATCCAATAACTAACCTAACATGCGTTGAGTTTTTGGCTCTGGTGTTTGGTATATTTAAAGTTTAATTTCAATACAAAATTGTCAACTCCACGTCGTAAATTTCTTACTCTATGTACAATTATGTTTAAAAAATATAAAAACCACATTCCTTTTTGTCACCGCCACCCGTGAAGGACACAAATTGTTCAGACATACATTAAGAGTATATCCATTAGATTTACAAACTATAAAGGTGGAATAGTATAAAATCCCACGACAATTATCGTTAGTAAGAAATTTAGATTAGTATGCATTACTTTTATTATTTTATTTTTATTATGCCCAAATTCCCTAAAAACATTTATTACAATTATTAATTACTATAAGGTATGGAAATTATTAACTAAATGATATATTTTTCTATGTTTAAAAATAAATTTTTTGAATAGTTAGGTACTGAACTATTTACCAAAAAATATTAATGAATCCAGAATCATTTCTTTCACAATAACTTTAGGTATTTTATTGAGTTAAATATCCTTTTACATAAATATATTGTCACTAGATAAATATTGAAAATGTATAATGTATAACAATGTTATGTAGGAAATTAATTCACAAATATTTGTAATTATAATACTTAGTATAGGTATATTAACAAAGACTTAAGAAAAAAAATTACCTAAAATCTTCTACAGTATTATAAAGAACTAAAATAATTTAATAATTTCATGTTTATTTCGATATTTTATGAATTAGGAACAATCGAATTATTTATTTATCAGTGTGATAATCATGTCTGGTATTTAGTAGAAATATTTAATTTCCATGTACTGGTTGTACTAATATGTATATAATATAAGAAGTATATGAAAATTATCTCATGTGTTTGTAAAATAGTGTCACGATTTTCGTTTCCGTTTTCACCATTATTGGTGTTTACTATAATATTTGTTCATGGTACACATTGTCTTAAACAAACGTACTATCACCGTTTTCGCGTTATGGTTCTGTTGGCATTCAATTAATTAGATATTTTATTGTTATTCTGTAGATACATTCACTATACTATACCCAACATAATAGTTTTGCTTTTATGATAAATTTAATTGATTAAAAAAAATTCCTGTTTACAATTATTTATATATGATAAATTTTGTTTTTTACAAAAATCATACTATTTTACTTTTAAATTTGATTTTTTTTTTTTTAATGTGTGTTTAACGATTTATATATTTCCTACTTACCTATTAATATCAAAATCGTTAATTTGAATTGCATTTGAATTTCTCATACGATTAAATATAATATATATTCAAACGACAGTCTCTTCTATAATGTACGATATAGGTTTAGTATTGGGTCCTTTAAATAAAAAATAAAATAAAATTGATAATAATTGTTTGCAATGTGAAATAAGAAGACCATTTTGTGTTCAATGGAAATTGCATTAAAAAAAAAAAAAAATGCTATTATTAAGTTTTTTATGTGTATTAGTTAACCACTCAAACGTATAATTTGTATACATCTAATGAATATTAATATGAAACATATCAATATTATAATATAAACGCTTATTATGTCAAATTTATACATACATTTTTTTTATAATGGCTTATCCGCAAAAATGCAACATCGAGGAGATCCACTTTTTAAGATGTGCTCTGCAATATTTGTACGCATAATTTATACTTGTATATACGTGTTCTATTTCATCAAAATATGGATTATAATATGTGTAACTGTGCAAGTTTGATGTTACACAACATAATATAGGTACGTATTTTTTAAGGTATACATGAAAAATTCTTAAATGATAAATTCCCTGTAGAAAGCCGGTTTTATTTTTAATACGTTTCTGTATAATATATCATATTTTAATATAAAGTGTACATCAGGGCATTATTTAATAACAGGTGGTTACTCGATTTAAAAAATGTAACCGCTGTAACTCTATATTAGATATATATGTAACATTTTATTTTATAATATATGTTTCTTGCATAAAGACTCAAAGTTTTCATACACTTGCTAACAATAGTTTATTAATAATATCATAATTATATTTAGAAATTATAACACCCATGAAAGGGTTCGATAAAAATATGAAAACATAAGTATATTCCTATTAGGTATACTAGTGTTATGGTATTATTCATAGCTACATAACATTAGTTTATATTATTTATATTTATTATTATTTTTCAAAGGTCATGTTGCCCCAGTAGGTATTAATAATAAATGTAAATGGTCAAGATAAATGAAGTCATTAGTAATAAAAATATGAAAATATCAAACTGAGCTTATTATAAATAAAATTATGAATAAAATAACTATATCCTAACCTGACGTCAGATGAAAAAAATTGTATTTAATTAAAAAATATATGATAATATTATTTTGGAATAATATTAGTTTATGTGTAATAGTATTAAAATATGATTAAAAATAGGAGGTTAGGCTGTGTGGGATTTTTATTACTGATTATTAAAAATTTAGAATAGTTTACCTACCTACTATAAATTAAAGTGTTTCAACTTTAAATTTAATATTAAATAAACAAACAAACAAAAAATATCGATTTAGATTAAAAACCTTCAACTTATTTGTGATTCAGAGTTAATTTTAAACATATTTTACTCTAAAAAAAATTCTAAAATACATATATTTATTCAAAAATATATCAAGAACTGTGGTCTTCAGTAAAATGCTTACGTGCACCTAAATTTAGTTAATTTATCTTTATAGTCTTACACTTTTTGATGGATGTTCATAACTATTATACTATCATAAACATTAAATGAGATACTTACTCAAATAAACCGTATATAAATTATTGGTACTGAGTTATATTTTTAATAATTGTATATTCATCATATATAGTTTGTTTTCACATTTAAATTGTCTACGAAAAAAATGGCAGACTTGCAGGGTAAAATACTTTTAATGAGCGATTGGAATAAATACACGAATACTTATGCAAAATAGTATTCGGAGTATGTATTCGAATACTTCATAAAAATAATATTTCGAACAAAATATTTAAAATACTTTTTAGTTTTTGTTTTAAATATAATCATTGATACTTTTCTTCTGAACAATTTGAACTAAGCGCCTACATATATAAGTCAATAATTCTAAATATAATATAATTTACGCTGTTGTTAGGTACTTGATTTAAATACTTAAAATATTATAAAAATGACCAGAAAACAACTATTGTAAATAAAAATATTTTTTATAGGAATAAAATACTTTTGGGAAATTATTTTAAAAGTATTCCCAATACTACCCAAGACGGAAAAATGGTTTAATTTACATAATATATATAATTTTTTCTTCTTTTTCTTCTTCTGACTTTATCTACTCTACAAGAGTTTTTGCCGCCATCACATTTTCACGCCACTTCACTCGATCATGAATTATATTTCTCCAATCATTTACTCCTATACCTAATCCTAACATACCAGTGTTTTCGTCTAATTTAGGTCTACATATCATTATCACTTATCAATATATAATTTACTATATTAAAATTATTTAATTATTTATTTAAAGAAATTGTTTAAGTAGGTAAAAAAAAAAATTATTTTATATAAGTACAGCATGTTAAACTATAATAGTATTGTTTGTGACAATATTCGTGTATAATATTCGATTGACGATTAAGTTCCCTCTAATAGCGATTATTTAAAAAATTAAGACTAGAATGTCTGAAAATCGGAATGATATGTCACTGCAGTCTAGACAGTTGGTGATTTTAGACTCATTAACGTGAGAAGGAATTAATGGCTTATTTATCAGCTGCAGTCTCTACTTAAAGGGCCGTATTTCGCTTTCAGTATTTAGTTTTTCCATAGTTCTTGTTCCGGTTGTTGTTTAACTATTTCAGTAAAAATTGAACAGTTGTTTCACTATAGCAAAAATCATCATGATGTGTTTCAAAGTAAGTACATATTATTATTATTATTTTAATGCAAAAAATAACTATACGTCTTCAATTTTACTGTCATTTATTATTTTGATTTTTGGAAAATCATTAACTTAACTTCAAAATGTTAACGTGTTGTTGGTAAATTGCAATAAATGTATGTAGGTACACTGCATTAGCATGTGGAGATATTTTCGAATTATTTATAAATTATAAGTTTAGCTTACATATAACAACGAATGCGTGTCTAAAATTCATATATGTATATACTGTTTGGTTCATTACATAATTTTATTGAGAGCAGAAATATACTGTTTGGGTGGCTGAGTTGCATTTACTGCACCGAGTTACACCCAAAAGGAGTTGAACAATCATAATTTTTTTAAGAGTTGTCATTTTTCACGAGCAACAAAGTTCGCGGGAACAGCTAGTTATTATGTATATATACATGTATACCGGATTTTTTTACCTCGGGCTTTTTAACCTAAACTAACCTTTTTAAGCTTAGGACTTATCTACTGTGGCCTTTATTACCTAGGACTTTTTTACTTTGGACTTTTTTTTACCACGATTGAAAAAAAAGGTTCCTCTTGTATATTTGATATTTGATATTTTTAAATTGTTACTTTATTACATTTTCAAATTTATTGACTGGAAAAAAAATATCACTGTTGCTTATTAAAAAAAAAACAATTTTAATTTTAAATCGTATAAAACCTAACCTAATCTATTATTAGTCTAAATACTTTAAAGTGTTCATTGTGTATAGCAAATAATAATATAAGTAATATTCGAGTATTTGTAGTTTTAATGCTTAATAGGCATTTTTGATTTACAACAAAATAATTAAGAGCGTTCGAGATGAGAAATCTTTTAATTATAAGTTTCAGTAGGTATCCAATGTTGATCAAAGATCATAAAAAATTAATGTAGCTTTACTCTAAACTTTTTTTTTAAATTCTTGTATGAGCAACCTATGAGGAACCTTCTATTCGATTGTCATGCTCAAATATAAAAATAGAAAATTTTATGAATCTTAACTATAAAGCAAATGGATTAAGTTAGCCAAAATGTTAACTCTAAAGCTTAAAGATAAAAGTGAGACTTTATTTTTGATGCTTTTTAATTTCTGAAAGACAGTAATCGATTACGTGGCACCTTTTATAAATATATTAAGTTTTTTACTTTAAAATGGTGTTCGACTAATCTACATAAATCGAGGTAAAACTAAAAAAAACTTACAATTTCAAATGTCATAACTCATAATTAATAGATCAAAAAGAGTCAAAATATGGATAGTTCATCATATCTAAAAAATTCTAATATAATTACTAGGTATTGAAATTGTCGATTATCAACAACATGATATTACTATCATTACAATAACATAAACATTATCGATTTTGATTAAACCAGGTGTTTCGTAAATATTCTCATATTGAGATGTTTTTATTAGTTTTTCTCAATTATTGTAAAGATAATTTTTATTTTTTAAGCTAATCCCAACCAGATAAAATTCTATACCAAACCCTTGCTCAAAGTTGAATTTTTAAACATTTTTACTGATCCGATACGTGACAATAGATACAATAAAAAAACAATACAATACCTACATATCACTCAGCTCTGAATATAATACATTCAATAGCTACATTTTGTAGTTTAATTTTACAAAATCAGTCTGTCATGAAAATGTGTAAGTTTTTTTGTGATTGAAATTTCACGAAATTTTTAATTTGTATACCTAGGCTTGAAAATTTCACACAATATTCTTCTTTTAAGCTGCTTTTACAGCAATTTAAAAATATCAGAAATACATAATTGACTAAATTGGATAGCTACTTAAATGAAAAACAAATATTTTCTTATTTTATTGTATGTCATATCGGGCGAAATAAAAAATTTAGATAAACGCTTATATTTTTATACAATAACAACTACTTTTTATTCCTTAAGAAATATAATATGTATATGCTGTATATATATTTATTTAAATTATTTTTTTCAGGCGATCTTGTTGGTATCCGCTATTGTGTGTTTGATAAGCGCCATTGATATACCACTAAAAGAACGCATTTTCAAATGCAAACTCACCTCGTTTAAAAAACATCATTCTATATTTGAGGGTATTATCCCGTCGATCTTGACTTCTCCAGCCGATCCTGCTGTTCCTGACGAGTATACCGTTCCCGCGGGAGGCACTACATTTGGTACAGAGCCGGTCCCGGTTCCTACCGCAGTAACTGTAGAACCGCACCGAGAAGTGCAGAACCCACCACCGCAGGAAGTTCAGCATCCACTACCTCAGGAAGTTCAGCATCCACCACAACCAGATGTCCAGCATCCACCGCAACCGGATGTCCAGTATCCACCTCAACCGGAAGTACAGTATCCGCCCCAACCGGAAATCCAGTATCCACCACAACCGGAAATACAGTATCCACCGCAACCGGAAGTCCAGTACCCTGTGCCGCAGCAAGAGGGACAGCCCCCTGCAGCGCCACAACAGGAAGTGCAGAATACGCCACAGCAACAACATCTGTATCCACCGCAACACGATGGCCAGCGCCCTGCACAACCCCATGTAGAGCAAATCCTTCCACCATCGAACGGAGGGCTCTATCCACCGCAACATAACGGGCAGTATTATCAACTGCAAAACACGGGGATGTATTATCCGCCTCCGAACTACCAGGGTTTTACTACCAACAACGTCCCATATAACTACCCCGTCTATGGGCAAAACGTACTGAGATCCGTTAAATCTCTCGACGGCCAAACGTATCCGCTCCTCCAACGTCCGTACAGAGTAAATATGTTTATTAGACAGCCGAGCCCATACTACAACGCTCCACCTGTGTATGGCCAGTACGCTGCTCCTCAATTTAACTATGTACCACAAATTCCGAGAACAGCTCAAGCCCTCACTGCAAAAAAAGCGAAATCCCCTTGATTAAATTGTATACTTACGTCCATTCTCATATTTATCATTATTATTATAACAATTGCTGTAGCTTTTAGTATTTATTATGAAGCATAATGGTTAAATTTAAGAAATAAGGAAGTGTTTAAATTATCAACAGGACAATACATTTATTCGTGTATTCTACTTATGGTATTTTATACATAATATATATATAATACATATTTGTATGTATAATTCATTGTACCGAATGAATCTGTTTTCGAATCACGAACCGAAACGGTTTTTATTTAAAATATATTGAAAATATAAGAATAATCGATGATTATATTATTATTTACTCACTTTGCAACTCTAATAGGGCCTATATTAAAGAACGTATTTATAAGGTAAACTTATAAATAATAACTTGTATTCGTATTACTTATTTTTTATTTTTTTTTTTTGGTTTAGTTTGGTATATTATATAAGATTCTATTAAATATTTATTCTAATTTATAAATAAACTCACAAAGTTAAGTTCACTTAAATTATTTAAGGGTAGAAAAATGTATGATTTATATATATTTAAGTAGATATAATAACTAAAAGCTAAATTTAATTTAAATGTATTAACCTAATACACCATAGTATTAAGTACATGAAGGCTCGAGGATTAGTTATCAACACATTTATAATTTATTATATTAAAAAAAAATTAAAATCTATGGTATTTTAAAGTTAAATTTTGTTCGTAAAAGAAATTTGTACATTTTAGGTTATTAAATGAGTATTAGTATAACATGAAAACTACAGGCCTAATTTGTTTTTGGTATAAGTATAGGATATTTGTTGGGCTTATTATTTTATGTTTACAATGTCAAACCGTTAAAAATAATATTATTGAAACAAACGATACGTTTTCAGTGTCGATGAATGTCTTTAGTTGTTATTAGAATACTTTTTTTTTATTATTCAAACAAAATAGTATATTTACAATGCGTAATATTTTATATACAATAAGTATAAATTTGATAACAAAGATTAATAACAACATGAAAATCACGTGAAGAGGGAATCCTACTATTGTGGAAACCCTCGTGATTGAATTGAACTCATTTTTGCCGAAAACAGGTCTCAAAATGTATTATATAGCAATAATTATAATATTATTTCGCAAAATATTACTATCTGCTGACCTTATAAGTCAACATCAATACCAACGAACCGTAGAACGGTGTAAATAGGTTCGTGGTATAAACGAGCTTAAAATTAATCTTAAAATACGCAGTAATGAAATATTTAAACTCTCTACGAATGAAATTTTTTTTTAATTCAACAAAACAACTAAAGTAGTTATTTTAGGTATAAATAATATCAAATTTTGGTGAAGTTTGAACTTAAAATATTTATATATTATATAATATAAAATTCTACATTTTTTTGTTGAGACTATTAGGTTTTTGTAAGAACAATTGAAAATTAACATTGTATTAAATGTTCAAGCCTAAACTAGTAAAATTAAAAAATGTTGTACACTTTTACCTACAAAATAATTTCCAAATGTTCGTAATTTTGATGAACTTAGTCAATATTTGAAATTCAAAAACGTATCGTTAAAATGAGCTTATTTATATTTAATATCTTTACATTTCCGAGTGAATAAAGAGCATATACAGTGTAGAGTACCAAAAATATTTTTAAATTATATTATGTGGAAATTAAAAAATAAAATCGATTTGGTCGTAGACTTGTTAAGCCTGAAAATACATTGTTTCTGTTAGTTTAATTTTTTTGTAATTCCTATTTATATTTTTAAAATTAATAAAAATTTTGCTTTTGACCTTCCCAAAGTTCCAAATAGGCAAATCTGTAACCGGATACCACTTCGAAGTTGAACATTTTTTTTTCTATAAAAATTACACAAATACAAAAAAAAAACCATTATAAAACCCAATATACCTCCAATGCTCTGTTCAGAACATAAACTGAATATAGTTTCGTCATAAAATATGTTCTTTTTTTATAAATTTACAATTTAGTATTTACTACCTACAAAATTTTAATCATAGACGATATATGACAAACGATAAAAATTTCACTGATGAGGGATTTATGTTTAATGAATAATGACACACTGAAAAAACAATGAATAGATTGTTTTAATAAAAAGTGTATTACCTATTTATTTTATATTATATTTATTTTATTATTTATTTCAAAGGATATTTTTATATTTTTGGGAGTTGTAGCTAGTTATTACTTATCACTATTATTAACTGTTTACAATTAATAATTATTCAAGAGTTATTTGAATTAATTTCTACTATTTATTGTTGAGATATGTATTATTCAAGTTGCCAATTCAATTTGAGGTTCCAGGAATTAGTATAAATGACCTGGTAACTAGTATTTTATCTTTCTTGATTAAAAATACTAATTTTTATTTTTAATTGATAAGTAAAAACAGTTTTAGTAAACGATCTATATTAGTCACGGTTATTGATAGTGATTTACTCGTTATTAATTTTTTTTCATATATTATAAATTATAATATGATGCACAGGAGGTATTCTTAAAACGTCCATAATAAGATCCTACTCAACAGTCCGAACAACAGAATGTATAAACTATGTATAAAGAATGAAGTGAATGAACGATATTTTATTAACACTCCAAGGTTATATTATATAAATGGACTACCTATGTAAAAACTGGATTTTTCTTTGAAAAAAAAATCAGTTTACACCTTCAAGGTACTCTTAAAACTATTCAGACTTGTTTTACTTATTAGGTAAATTTATTAATTTTTTATATTTTTTGTCAAATTTTAAATGCTTCTACTCTAAGCTAAACATTTATTGAGTGGAAAATTAGTGGTAGTATTTCATCTATACTAAAGTTTGGTACCATATGTGGTATGGTTATGTATATGTACCTACATTATGTGGCCCATTACAAATTTCTAAAATTTCTAAAATATTTTTTTTTAAATGTAAAATGATTACTTATTATTGCTACATTGTATCTAAAAGATAAGAAAACAAGTCCAACATCGTACCCTACTACATACAGTGATATAACGATTGATATACCTATAGTACTAAGTGCATAATGAAATATACCTAAATTAAATTGCAGGGAAGATATACCTATATTATGATTAATTCTAATTTTATATTTGGTATAGCAAATATATTTTCCAAGTCGAAATCAAAAAATGTATAAACGTAAATATAGATACCTATTCTAAGTTGAAATTTGGTCGAAATTAGAGATATTTAAACGAGTAATAACGATTTTATTAATTTTATTGTAATTCAAAAATATTATAAGTGGGTACTTGAAACCTTTAAGCATGTAAGTATAATGTATACAACATTATCCTATTATATTCTATACACACAATGACATTCCCCAATACAATTTTTTTGCTAAAAAATAATTCAATACTTACTGTATTACTAATATTTAATAGTAAAATAAATTACTTTAATTGCAATAATATCATAAGATATACTCATAAGGCCGTTCTTAAAATGTCCGGTTAAAATTAGTCGACACTTAACCGAGCCGAATTCTACCAGTAATAAAATATGTTATCAGTCGGTTAACGTTAACTTTAACGGACATTGTAAGGACGGCCCTCAGTAATATAGGCATGTATTCGCTTGAAATAGTTTTTCGTATAAAATGATTTTACGTCATTGAATTAAAATTTAACACATCCATTACAGTGACCCACACGACACCTAATGTACAGCAGAGTGGTAACCACTTGATCGCCTTTTTTATTTTTATATATTACTCATCTGACTAACAATATATAAAATGTCGTTACAAAGACAACAAAAAATGCAATTATTGTTAGTATGCCTAAAAATGGAAAAATGTGCAAATTATAAAATTAAATAAAATGTCTTGTACGCCATACCAAACGGATATTTATTCTACCTAGACTGAAATTTGCACGACTAAAAGAAAAAAAAATTAAATGTCGTAAACATACTAAGTATCCCTAATCCTACTAATCACAATAATGTTTAATTTTTTGATTCAATACTGGAACTAATAACTCATGTGAACGAAAATATCTATTTCATATTATATGATATACCTCTTAACTATACTCATAAGTATATAGGTATTATAATATATTATTATTACCAATTTATTATTCAAATAATATAACAAAGTTTTTTTTCTGTGTTGTAAATTTTTAATGTATATCGAACACCCACAAGTTAAAAACTTCAAGGTATATCACCCGAACGAAACCATTTCGTTTTTTTTGTTTTTGCATAAAATCGTATTACCGCATGTTATGTACCTACGCGACACATCTCTGCGGGTCCATACCGGATTCTTGTGGATTATGAGATTCACCCAGCCTCTTCCATAACGATATGATTCAAGGTCGTCTGGATTCATCGTGTACCTATGTATTTTATTTCCACCCGTGGGGGTAAACCCGACTATATATACCGCGAATACTTAAAGTTTAGCATACGCATTCGCAGCCGCATTAAGTCTTTAGCCGTTCACCAGGTCGTCTCATCTATTTATACACGAAACACACTCGACCGACAATGCAGGGGCTTAAGGTAAGTGTTTTTTTTCACTCGACAATAATATTATTATTACCCAATCTGTAGGTGGTGCAGGTGTTCGTATAGTTTTTGGTCTAACCAATTCTCCCGTCGATCCCGTCGCTTTTGGCAGGAATCTGCCAATATAACATCTTCGTCGAAACGTGTTCTACGTTGATACTATATTATTATACGTTGTAATTTCGTCATTTTATTTTATCATCGTGTCAATCCGTTTCCCATCGATCTCCCTCATATTTTCCAAAACTATACAAACACGCTGTAGCGGTCCACCTGTTGACTTCTGCGTCTCACCGTCGTTTGCTCGTTCGTTTTAGACTGTGGGTTTGCTGTGCGCGGTTTTCGTCTGCTTGACACGCGCTGCGGTGATTGACGAGCCGTCGGCTCCCGCCCAATACGACTTCAGCTACGCGGTCAACGATCCGACCACCGGTGACCAAAAGGACCAACAGGAATCGAGGAACGGTGACGACGTGACCGGTTACTACCGTACCTTGGACTCGGACGGTTACCTGCGCACCGTCAAGTACAAGGCCGACGCCGTCAACGGATTCACTGCCGAAGTCGTCAGGGAGCCGGTCAGCGGCGCCGTCGCCGCCGTGCCGGTCGTCGCAAAGGCCGCCGCCGTGATCAAACCGTTGGTCGCGCCCGTCGTCCCGGCTGTCGCCCCCGTCGTCCCGTACGTCGCACCCGTCCCGTACGTCGCCTCGCCCGCGCCCTACTACTTCGGTTCGTCCGGTTACCCGTACAACTACCAGCCGTACTCGTACGGCGGTTACCAACCGTACCCGTATAACGCTGGTTACTCGCCATACTCGTACGGCCAGTACGCTTACAACGGCCCATACGGCTCACCGGTCGTCCGCAAGTAAAACACCCGCTCGAAAACGGCTATACCGCCTGCACGCGTGTACATAGCACCCGACTCGTCCAGCGGAATGTCGCTCGTCCGTCGTTTCCGACGAGTCCAACGTAATATTATGTTCTTCGATATTGTATTTTCTTCTGTTTAAAATGTTTATCTTTTTATTATTATTGTATACCTACGACAATCATTATTCTTGTATTATTAATATGTAAACAAAAATAATCGCATCGATCAATAAATTGTACGTACAAGTACGTATTTGTATCTTCTATATTTGCATTTGTTCGTTAATACCTACCTAACTATACCTTTAAAAACTATACCTATACCTTTAACAACATTATATTTGTCATTTTACGGCCATTATAATATAGCACCTGCTCGCATTTTTAACCATACACTATAGACTCAATTAATCTTACTGCACTATTATATTAACTATATTACTCCGAACAGTCCGAAGCGTTCATATTATAATATATGATATAGTTATAAATTATTATAATTTATATTATTTTACAAAATCGTAAGTTATGTTATGATAATCTGTTTTATTTATAATAGTATTTACTTATGTTATCTGTGTGCGTTGACAAGCGTCTTCGCGGTTGGATCAGTGTCTCGAGATGTTTCTCATTGACCATTGTGTTTAAATCCAAATCCTAGGACATTTTCGTTTCATCTAGTCAAAACGAAGATCACGATGTGTGAGAAAATTTGTTCTAGGTCACGTTGTACTGTCGAACATTAAAATATTTTGTATGGTCGGGTTGGATCAACTATAAGATTTAACTTAGATTGTAGAACGCGGACACTGTGAACTATACTGTATACAACACTCAAATTATAATATTATATACACATCAGTGCTCGAAATGGAAAATTTTCTGAACCGGAACGCTTTTTTTTGAGTACATACCATAGAATTGGGGGCTTCACCCAACAAAATTACTAACCCTTTTTTAATAATAAATAAGTTGTGTCTATTATTTTATGAAACTCACATTATATTTTCAGCCCTTTTAAAAATTTAAATATATTTTTACCATCATTCGAAAGTGGCCAATTTTTTGGATTCAATTTTTCAATATTATCAAGTAAGTTTTTAAACGTTTTTTCATTGTCTTGGCGATTTTTTTCATTACGACTGACATTTGATGAACTGGAAGTCATCATTCGAGATTTTAAATTATTAGCTAGGCTTTTGTAAAATTGTGCAGAATTTATTTTAGGAACTTTGCCACTGTGTAATATTACATTTTTATACGACATTTTGTTCTTTATTTCTTTTAATGCGTCAATTAGTTTTGGACCCGGATCGGTTGCCATAGAATCTAATACACGTATTGTTGTTCTTATAGATTTATCAGCGTCTACTAACGTAATAGTGTAATACTACGTTTTTGTAAATATTCTGATAAATCTCCTAATTCGTCTAAAGCATCAGACATGGTATTTAAATTACTAACAAATTCTATACTTGTTATCATTTTAAACAATCCACAGTATTTACTTCTTTCATTAGAGTCTCTGGTAGGGTCCATTGAAGCCAAGTTGAAATGTTCACACAAATTATTTAAGACTGCATTAACTGTCCGTTTGCTTGATGCTACCCATCGAACTGACAAAATTCTACCAATTTTCAAAATTTGTACTTCTAATGAAATAGCAGCATTTTTTTAAACTCGTTTTGGTTTTTAGGTGACAGTAAAAATTTGTTTGAACCGGAACGATAGACGTATTTTTTTTACGAACCGGAACGCTAAAAATTTTTTTGTCGTGAACCGGAACTGCGTTCCGGTGCGTTCCGGTCCATTTCGAGCCCTGATACACATAAAGTATGGGTATAGGTGTAAAATAAAAAGTATAAAGTCATGACAATTTTTTTGAAAAACGTTATCAAGTTTAATAACCATTTTGTATATCTAATTTGTTAATATAATTATAACTTACAAATATATTATAGCACATATTCTATTTGGCTGTTACTTAACCTGAACATTTAAATAAACTTTGATTGTATTAACTTATTTATAATATTATTAATATTTTGAATTATTTTAGTTGTTACCAGCTAACCTGTTAATAAAAAAAACTAAGCATTTTTTGGCTTATTTATGTATACTATATTTATAACAAATTTAATTTACTTTTAAATATCAAATAAATAAAATAATGTATAAATCTCATCAAACTTTATAGCATTATATTATATAGTATAATGTGTACTTATTTATACATAATATCTACTTAAAATTTAAATACTTACTATGTAAATAATAGTACAAACTACAAAGTGTCAGAGTTCTGAAATTAACATTTTTTTTCTGACCTTACAAAGTGACCTATTACCGTGATATTATACATTTGTATACATTTAATGTTATTAATCATCCTATATTGTAAAGATGTTTAATTTCATCCTATATTGTGTCGAATAGATATATTAGGTACTACAGTTTTGCAGTGAATTAAAGTAGGTGCGTCGTGGCTACAACTTTTCGTAAATATACAAATAACTGTTGAATATGCAGTACTTATACAATATTATACTATGCATATTAACGATAAATTATTTTATAGGGTTTGGTAGAAAATTATTCCAACCATGATGGTTGTTGACAACGGTATTTACTTTATTTTAAATCTGTTTAACTTCGTTTCAAATTAGTTGATTCATTTTACCGAATAAATTGTAATGGTTCAAAGAAATATTGTAGCTTTATTAAATAAATGCATTTTATCGATTAGACTTTAATTTATATAGGATTTAGGTATTCAAATCATTTAAAGGAAAAAGTTGGCTTCCTTTAAAAAAGACAATAATAATCAGTATAGTTGTAAATTATATCTTTTTATGAATCATTAAGTCCAGTTTACAGATTAAAAAGTATCAAAGTGTCCATAAATAATCTAAATAAGAAGAAAAATACTGCTTACACTTTACAAAAAACAAATAACAAAAATATAACTGTTAAGTATATATTATATAGACCCTATAATCTGTAGTGCTAAAATTTAAAAAATAAAAACCCAGTCTATAGACTTAAAAAAAACTAGACGCTATAGTCCCTTGCAATGAATAGACTCGATCTAACCATCTGCAATAATATCTACAATTTATATACTAAGTGATATAAGGATATAGTCCTTAACAATGGGTTTGCATGGATTATACAATTTTAATAAACTTATCTATTTTATTTTATCTTATTAATCACTTTAATTTTAAAATCATTATAGCTTCTAAAGTTTTATGCTTATAATTAATATCCTTAGTGTTTATACATTTAATAACTCGGAAACTACTTGTTAATATTTAAATTTATAAACATTAACATTTTCAATCAAATTGTATCATATTATAATGATTTACTTAAAAATCTATTTAGTCTTAAATAAAGAAGTTTGTAGCGCCACAAACACTTTTTAATTGTACAAAAAAATCATCGAAATATTTTAAAATACGATCCTTAAGTGTTCTTAAAAATGTCAATAGTTATAATTATAATAAATTAATTATTGAAGAAAAAATTAAGGGTTTTGCAATGTGCACCAGGTATATTTCTGTGATACATGAAATATAATATATAACAAAGTCTGTAATGTAATAAGTATATAACAATTGGCTACATAGTGGAGTTAATGTTAATGCATTGGTACAACTCGAGAAACAAAAACCTTGGACGTGTAATAATATTAGGGTTAATAATACACTTGGGTAGCTCTAAAAGAGATGCAGGAATAGTTGTTGATATTAATCTAAAAAGGTATCTACTAGACCGCTGTATCAAACAAAGTTCATTATTAGTAAAAGTCGAAACATCTATAAGTTTTGATAAGTTCTAGAAATGTAATATTACAAACTAATCGATATAGTTTAACTTTAATTATGCAATCTTGACCATGTAATAACCCATTATATGATTATAACCATCTCATCATTATACGAAAAATAAAAATAATATGTATTTGAAAAGAAGCCAAATATTTGTACTTAGGTACAGGTTTTTAAATATATATAAAAAATATAGTTCACATTGCATTAGTTTTTATGAACCTTGAATATTAATTACAGTTACCTATAAACATTGATCTTTGTTTTACATTTTATTATGTCCCCATGATAATGAAATTCAAGAACATTTTTAAAGTTAAGTTTTTTTTAACTACCTATTTATAGATTGTATAGATACTTTTTGTTAACTAGAAATACGTTTTATAAAACGAACAACCTATAAATTAAAATGTATATACACATAAATTGTGATTTATTTATTTATTTCAATACCTAACTCTAAATTTATGTTGTAAAACGCATAATATGATGTATTTATATTTTAAATACTATCTTAAATATAATATCGTAATTCAATTATTTTATTTTTTTTTTTTATTTAATCGTATTCTATTATTAAAGGTCAACAAACCATTCTTTAAACTTAGGTTCAATAACTGTTTATGCATATTTGGGATTATCATTCCGTTCAAGGTTGAATTGGTAGTTAAGTGCAAATGTTTATTTTTTTTTTCTTATATATTATTGTCAACCATTATGTCTTATGATTGAAATGATGATTTGCTAATTTGAGTGGACATATGCTATTTTATTTGTATGAAAACTATTTTAAATTTATCTTTTGTTTTTTGATTTTTTATTAAGTACTTAGAACAATTGAATAAGTACTATAAAATTTGTAGACCGTAAAGTACCTACTATAATGCGCATATATAATCATTTTAATAATAATTTGTCATTGTCTTTGTCATATATATTTGTATATAAATATAATATTTTTGTTTTCATAATAACCCAAAAACTAATTAAGATTTATGAATGTCCATTTTTGGGAAACAAATTTGTAAAGAATTTGTGGGTATTACTTATAGGAAATGTAGTTTTTTTATCACAATGAAACATTTGATCAAAAATTAAAAACATACAAAAGAATATTTAGCCGATGTAAAAGTAGACGGTGTTCTATATTTTTTAGATTACCGCAAACAGAACACCTAACTGGAAAGTTTTTATTTTTATAAACGTTTTATTATACAATTGAATAAATTATTTGGGAAGAATAAAATGTATGACTATACTTGAAAAAATAATTAGGTTTGTAAAATAAACTAGTAGGTACCTATAGTACCTACCTATACCTACATGGAATTTATTTCTATTATCAAACTTATCCGATTGGCAATTGGTCAATTTTTATTTTCGTTACTGCTTCCGGTTGTACGCCGATGCAATATAACTTTCGATTGACGGAACGGAAACTAATTTACCAGTGACTGCATAATATATAATACCTATGTATTATTATAATTATTATACCTATTATAGTTCGTATAGTATATACTTAATATAATTATGTATTAAACTATTATGTCATTATATTATAATCGGAATACACAAATCCATCCATCATAAAATCTGTAACTGCAATGTAAATTTTTTACTTGTTTCAAAAGTTTTATATTTTAGGAAATAATCGTTTCTGAAAACCTATATCAGTCGATACCACAACACATTTGCAATTTGAAACTACAGCGAAGATATATTTTCGCGTTTATTGCATATATATTATTAACTAATAAATTTGAATACAGAGTGTTTTACAGTGTTGGTCCTCACTCGAACCTACTAAAAATGTTGATTATATTATTACAATTTGAATACTTAAGTATGAACAATGACGTCTTTCATAAATTAATCTATAAATTGTTGAATTTTAAACTTCTACCTAGTCCAAACGGCGAATATAACATTCATAGTTTTTTTTTTAGTTTGGGTAAACCATTCATAAAATAGTATAATTAATGTTAACAATTGCTTGGATCTATAGTAGAATATTAAATTTAAAAAAGTTATTGACTGGAACAAACTCGATAGAACACCCTGTATAAGGATATTGTAATTAACGTATTGTATATTAATTAATGTACACTTATATATATATATATATATATATATATATATATATATATATATATAAACATAATTATACATATTGCGCATGGCAAGAATCTGTAATTCACTCACCGGTAGTGGATTGTATAGGATGTACCTAAATAAGATGATATGACGTTGTACCTATATATTATATTCGTATTATTGGTACGGTTATGTGGTTAACTGTTTGGTAATAGCTTTTAAAACAATATTATTGGGCGTTTTTCATGAATTTCCGATACGAATTGACCATCTACATCTCAGATGGTGCAGGTAAATTCTTTAAAAATCTCAACAAAATCGGTTCGGCCACTTATTATGCTTTGAGTTTGTGAATTTCCAAACAAAATATGACGACACAAGACCGTTTATGTATTTCGTTAGAACGACGAGCCAAACATATTCAAATAGTCATGTGAACTATAAGGTATCGCTTGTTGGCATACGAAACAATTTCGTCGTACCTACTCGAGTCGAAAGTCGTCGTTGATAATTTTATAAAATGTGCTCCATTATAATAATATAAACTTAATGAACGTATTCGAACAAATATTTGGAACAAACCAACGCTAAAAACAAATGTCCATACTTGTAACAACTTTGTACTTCTGCTGCAGCAATAATACATTAACCGTAAATAGTATGACATATCTCGATTTTCAGTTTTACGTATTTATACTTTTTTATTTTTATCTTTATTCTACATATTATATTGTTCTTTTTTTTTAGATATTTTGAATGTCTATTTTTATTTTCTACATTTTCCTCCGAAAATGGAAAGTTTTTGTGTAGTATAACAATTTGTTGCATATGTATATTTGCATATATTATATAGTTACGTACGTCTGTAACTTAAATTTTTAAACATTAACACGTTTAAAAAGCGTTAAGTTGGAACAATACAGCTAACTCTGCGTCTACCAAATGACAAATACCTATAGGTACTTACCTACTAGCTCTTTACTCGATATCCACCGAATACGCAACAAACAATCGTTCCGGTCGGTTCAGCCCGTTTTAGAGTTTACCGTATACGAATAACCTATCTTAGTATATCATCTATAGAATTATAAATGTTTATAGATATTGCGTATCGTACTATAGACGCCACTTATGTTAACACATAAATATAAATGTACACGCGATTCTTGTGCTGATCGTGTTGGCACGGTTTTGGGGAAAATCGGGGTTGTTCGCGTTTCCTATTGACGGTCGCTCGTATCTATGCCAAACTCGAATATTACGCACTTGTTTGGACTACGATGGTATTTCATCATCGAGCCCACCTAGGTGCATGTGTGTATCCGCTATGACTACATTACGAGTGCTGCACGTGCTATGGCAATAAGACGAATAAATCGTGTGTGATTTGGACATACCTTGATGTAGTTTACAAAAAATCCAGGGAATAAAAATATTAGCTTGTAAAAAAAAAAGGTAATTATTATATTTATTTAAAAATTTACCAAACGCTAATAACAGATAAAACAATATTGTAGACAAAAATCATTATTTACAACGAAAAAAAAACAAAACTATATAATATAGGAATATACATAATATAATGAGGTAAATATTATACAAATCAAAGTATAAGTGTATTATACAGGCGATTAAGATGATGGGCGGGGGAGTTAGGTGTATTCGTTACGATAACGCTTTATTATTAAATATATAGGATGCTTTAGAAGTATATAATTTATCGGGTTACTTTAAGGGGCCTATAGTTCCGGAGGGGCGAGAGTCACATCTCCTTCTGACTGTTTTATTTTTAAACCTACGTGTTTGCCATTCGTAATTTTGTATTTGGTATTTCATGTTACAAAGTGGGGCTTTTATATTATTTACATAAATATGAGAATTGTAATCTATATAAAACAGTATTTAAAATATATTAAAAGATATGATTAGTGGCGTGTAAATTACTGGGTGGAAGGGAGAGTCAAATCAGTTGTAAATCTTAGAGTTAAATAAGTTGTTTTTCATTTTACGAAATGTTTATTATATTGTTTTTGGGCAGGTACTCTATAATCGGAAATATACACCCTCCCCTTAGATTCAGGCAGTCACTAGGTATAGTCACTTTGCTCACGTGTGTTTATGTGCTGCTGCGTCGCAGGATGTCGTCACTTATAGTGATGTTGTTGTGGTTGTTGTTGTTGGTGGTGGTGGTGATAGTTGAACGTACCGGCGTCGAAGTTGGGTTTCTTGCGGTCGACCACGGCATTGAACCCGTGGTGCTTGTCCGCCGTATACTTCACCGTCCGGATGGTGCCGTCCGGTTCCACCAGCGTGTAGAACCCGGTCACCACGTCACCCGTCCTCGTCTCGTGCTGGCTTTTCACGTCACCCGTGTGAGGATCGTGCACGTCGTAGTGGAACGAATAGTGCACCGGCTCGTGGTGGTCCACGTGATGGTCCTCGCGATGGTCCTCGTGATGGTCCTCGTGATGGTCCTGCGCCTGTGGGCGATGGTTGTACAGCTGCGCCGCCGCCGGTTGTGGCCGGTGTGGGTAGCCGTTGCCGTCGTTGTAAGACGGTTCGTGGACGTCGAACGACTGGGGGGCCTGTTGGTATTCGCCAAGGTACGGCAAACACTGCGACCACGCGACCATACCCAGCAAAACGTACGACTGTAAAATACACGGGACATCGCTTGATAAGGCATTGAGCATTGTCATTATATTTTACGATATAAAGGTCAAACTCAATGGTCGCATATAGTGACTTAGCCGAGTAATTCGTCACACCCAAATAATATGTCTGTGTGCATTTCCCAAAACAAGTTTAAAACTTGGCCGATTGTACAAAAATTATAAACTGCAGGATATTTACTATATATGCGCGTACTTGGGTATACTGGAATAACCAACCCAAATTATCCTAACGTCATATCATGACGAGAGTCTCCTAAAGTAAGCTCAAATATGGGATACTATAAAACTTATATTAATTTATAATAATTTAATTATTCTTAGGTATAGTTATAAAATGTATGAGTACCTGTATTGTAATCGTTAATTGTTTCAACTTCGAAAAAAAGTTAGAAAAAGTTAGTTCTTTGTGCTTTGTACGGTAAAATGAAGACCGAAAAAACAAGCCCAGGAGGGGTTAGACTGGATTTAAAAGATTTTTACAGTTTGGAGATAAAACCGAGGCCCTGAATTCGTGTAATATGACGTTGTCTAAGTACGATTTTAAGCATATATCATATCATATTAAATGTATTACTTATTATAAAACGAAACTATCTTACCGCAATAACTGCAGAGTCCTTCATGTTTTTGTTTAGTGGACGAAATGCAAGCAAGCAGTACTTCTGCCCGAATGAGACCTATTCCCGATGGTTTGACTATATTTAAGCCCGATGGCACCGGAAGATTTTTCGGTGAAAACCTCTCATTATATTATTATTATCTTTACATTACAACAATTTATACGCAACCGAGTAACACGCCTATGTGAATAATGTAATATGGCATAACGCGTGCACATCACGACATGGTACACCGACCCTCGAGACTATACAATGTAAAATATGCATTATATTGTATGGTATATAAGTATAATCTGTATAGGCAGCGTGAACATGTACGATTTAATTATCCCTCGAAACTGTACGCAGAGCCAGTACATAAGTAGATATATACAGTGTATTGACGTATACTCACGTAGATATGGTGATCTGTTTAACACTTTGGTATAGTTAGCTTTTACCGAATAAAATAATGTATTTTAGTGGTTTAATATAGATTTTTCAATTTTATAAACGGATACAGAATACCATAATATGGTAAACATTGACTCAGCATCCCATATAAATACATCATCGTGTTACCTAATATTAATTTTTCATCTTCTGATTATAAATATTAAAATAAATAGGTTGTCATTAAAAACCACTATCATAATAAATATTAAATCTTTTTGTAAAATTGTGTACATTTTAATATATTTTTTTTTTAAATCCCAATAATTGGCTTAAATTTACTTGAAATAGATCACCCCGTACATAACTATTTACTATATCGTTAGGTAGGTAGTGCGCATATATACATAATATGTTTTTGTACCTATACAGTATGTTTCGAGCACTTATTTAACGCATAGCCACATGTTATTGTTGTTGTTACGGATTCACGTCGGGTAAACAGACTAGAAACGCGTTTGTGAAAAATATAATGTATTGTATTGTAATGAAAAATATAATATATTGTATTGTAATGGAAAATGTCATCACGCTTTTCTCGTCGCATTTTATTGTTTGTGCTTCCACGACGTCGTCGGTCCGTTTTCATTTGATGTGCTCTGACGACTGATGAGTAAAATCATGATCTTCGACCGTGGCACCCGTGACGACCGTTTTTATATATATTAACCTCCCGATTTTCCAAGATGCTTCAGTGCAGGTCCGTTGTCCTAACCTAACCTAAGTCCTAAATTAAAAAATATATATAAGGTAATAAATAATAATACATAATATATTAATATGAAACGTGATAATTGAGCTTAAAAAAATCTTAACACTCATAATCTTGGTAATTTTTTTTTTTTAAAAGAACAAAATAAGTATGTTCACAGTTCATAATTTTAAGCAGAATATTAAGTAAATTTTATTTTCCAAGATCTTTCATTTGCACACACTAGATGATTTTACATTTTCATTATACTATTATTGTTGTTATTGTAAATCTACAACAGGCTATCTTTATTATCCTTAAATCGATAATACTGTTTTCGTATTTGCAAGAAGGTAAATTATTTTTTTATAACAAAACAACCTTATTTACTCATCTGCCGATTTACATAGGTACCTACTACTAATTAAAAATTTTCCAAACAAGTTGCGGTTTGACTGAATTTTTTTTTATTTTTATTATCGTTTATTAAAAAAAATATGTACAGGCGTACAGCATTTTAATCTGTTCCAGTGAAAAGCATAAGTCAATGAAGATTACATTTTATGGTACAGTAGTATAGTACTTTTATAATAAATATTGATACAGTCAATATATCAAGATATACTATAGTGTTTTTAAGATTTTCTCAAGGTATATCCTTCCTATGTAATGTAATCGTACAGAATTTAAATTATCAGGTCTTAAACCAGAAAAAAATTATGTAATTGTATTAAACTAATTAATTACTAGAATTGAACACAAAGCTCTTTATCGCGGTTATTTATGTTTAGACCGTTACAAATTAATAGGTAAATGGTGAATAATTTAGGTTGTACATTCATATTATATAATAATTATTATTATATTCATATAACTCAATGCTGTAGTGCCTGTGTCTATTTTTTCATCACAAATCTTAACATTTCAATTAGATACAATGATAAATATACATATATTATCCGCAAGTGAATCGTTATGAGAATATTCAACATTCTTTTGAGTTTCAAATAACTTGTACTTATATATATTTTAATGTAGGTACACTGACAATAATATATTAATATACAGAAGAATTTTATGTTCAGCTTGTAACGTACCTATTACTACGTTAGGTGTATTCGATTCACTGTTTAAATAAGCTGGTTGAAATTTTATTTTTATTGAATGATTATAGTTATAGTATGTAGTTGTATGAATATTTTGAACAATATTTGATCAAAACATGTCTAATATTTGTATAAAATAAATGTGTCGTCTTTTCTTTTGTTTCATATTAAAATTATAGAATCATATCAATTCATAGTTATTATATTTTTATTGAAAATGTTATCAAATTTTCATTTACCTATACACAATATAATATCATTATAATACGTATATTACTCCTCTGACCTCTTATTGTTTATCTTATATACTATATACAATATACTTATATCAATATCCGCTGGCAATCATTCTATGTACATTGACGTTCATGTTTCTATTTGGTTTGGTTTGCAATTCAGGCTTCAGCTTTGCTCAGTTGAATGTTTATTATTATATTTATATAAATAATATATAGGAATGGACAATCTGTATGAAGAGCATATTATTCTGATGTATTTGATATTGTTATTTGGTGCCCATATACTATTGACATTAATTTTATAAATTATTAATATTAATTTGTGAAACTTAATAGCTTTACTATGTATATTTGGCACGTATAACTATACGTATAATTGTGTACGTTATAATTTTATAAATATAAAATAAGGACTATACCTATAACAAACTACTTAAAGATGTATGCCTTTTATGAGATGTATCATGTATGCCAAGATGTTACTTCGAGGAAATCAACGTTTTAATAATATTATGCGCTCAAATGTATTTGACACTTGTTTGCATAATATTTTATAATTATGATAAGTGTTCTATATACTAACATTATATAGTTTATGAAAATAATTTATATACCATATTAACATTAATATGTTCTTGGGTTGGCTTCAATTTTTTATATTAAAATATGGAATATTTTTTATCATGAAAACGTGTTTACTATATGTTAATTGTATAATATTATGTAGGAGTTGAACAATTCGTTCGCCAATTTAAATAAAGTGCGGTAAACACTGCAGTTTTGTTTACGGTACTATACATTACTTGCCTAACTATTGTCTTTAATCTTGATTATGAATTTAAATTAGGTAAATCGTAAACTAACTTTACCTATCATTGTATCCACATTTTTAAATATCTTGTAATTGTAAACTTAAGCATAACACACTTTTATTTTATGTAAGTAATAATATTAACAAACTACATCCAACCCAAGCTATGCTAAGAGGTTGGTGAATCGATATATAAATTGTATACGTATATGATGCCTATATATGCGAGTAATACAATTTAAAAAATAGGTAATTAAAATATATTGTGTATCTAAATTAAATATAATATAATATACATATAAATTAATATAATAAGTAATAACTATATTTTATCACATTCATGATTTATTCTATAAAATTAATTCGTGAGTATACATGAAACCATATCTCATAATATAATAAATACTTTTATACGCTCTATGTAATGTATTCATTCTAAATTTTAATCATCCTTAGATTATGTTTGAAACCCAACATTTTGTTGACAGCTCACGTTAGTTATAATATAAGTTATTGTGATAAAACGTAATCAAAAATTGAAATGAATTTTGTACTTAAAATATAATATAAACGTTTGTACATGCGGTCAATGTGAAAATGTGGAAATTTCTCTTTTTATATTTTATAACTTAAAATATTATTTGTTTTTTGGTTATTAGTTAAGTACTATATAATTTCAATGTGGATACCGAACGCATATATTATTGATTCTCTTCTTAAATTTAGATTGCTGGAAAGTTGTGGTGGGCTTAACATTTTAGATTTCGCTTCACAAAAAATTTTTGGAGTCACTGTTTTAATGTATTTGAATGAGACAAGGTTTGGCAAAGTTAACAATACCTGCAGATAGGAAATTAAGCATTGAAATATTAACATTTAGTTATTTTACAATGTATTATTGTTTGTGTGCTTATTATAATTTTAATGGAAAAGGCCTTTGTGGATATTTGACCGCCGAGGTTTTTATTGTTGGCATGGTATTAAAAACTATACACCACCTAATTTTCCATGTAAATACATTTTGATTAAAAAAATATTAGAATATAGTATTGTATTGAACTCACCCCGAGGCCTTTAGCGCGAAAGTCTGTTCTCTCGGGCGAAGGTATTTACCAATAAAATTATAACTACATCTTTGTCGTGCGGATATTATGTGATACTCGTGCACTGCATTATTTTATGCATGTCATTATTTGAGAAAAGTGCAACGTGTGTTCCCAAACGATTTATAATAATAATATCAATTCTCGGTTTTTATTCATGACGAAAAAAAATCTATTGAGACTGGGGATTGTATTGATCCTTCGGGTTTAATTTCAAACCGTGATCTAACCTTATCCAAATGTAACGGCCAACAGACATTGATTGTTTCTTTACTCATATAACGATTAACATTTGCAGATAGCTATGTCGAATTCTATAATTCATCCGTGGAAAATACTGAATGGTGCGCATAATAACATGTATATTAATCGTATTTAGATCGGATCTAGGCATAACATTTCTGGTTTGATCCCGTTTGTCTAACCTAACCGTGTATGATGCACGAACACCCCAAACCTAAGTATATCGCAGAACTTAAATAGTGTAAAGAATTCGTATTTGCTGCAGTATACGAATGAAATCACAATACGGTTTTAAACCCACTAATACATTTTGACAAATGTGAGTTATGATTATATATTATTTTAATTGCTAAGTCTGCTGATAAAATTGTCTGACATCGGAGAGATGTTACACTCGAATAGCGTTGCAAATACGTCTGGACGGACCGGGACGCGTATAAGTCCATAACACTTGACGACAACATCCGCAGATGGCGGCGCTTGTCATCCATATGATGTTATAATATTAATTGAAAAAAAAAATGTGCGTAGTATATGGGACACGGTAGAATAAAAAAAAACGGGCGACAGGTGTCGAGTTCCGACCGCGACTGACGGGCGGGCCATATATCATATTGTGGTAACGAACGCGAGCAAAGCATGGTATACGCTGTTTCTAAACCGTCTGGACGAAATCCACTTTGGCAAACGTTATAATTGAATTTATAAATTTTCTCGTCGATCGAAATCGCATTGTTACGGCACCTATCTCTGGTGGTCGCAGCGTAGTAGTTGACTACATATTATTATTATTATTATTATCGTTACCGTACGCTCTGAAACGGACACGCGCAACAATAATTACGATCGCGAACATACCTACCTACAACTGCAGCACATGTACAAAGTTAAAATATTCATAATACGTGATGGACATACAATCCGAAGGGGCGTTTTCTATTTCGGAGTTTCGCAACCTATTCCGCGTCACGACGATATTTGGTGACCACCGCGGACGCGTCCAAGACGCTCGTGCATGATCTTGAACCACTTAAATCGTAGTACTATTATATTATATTGTTATATCGGGGTCACCGGATAATATTTCTGGATAATAAGTTATTTCGGGGGCTCTGTCTTCGCACCCCCCTCCCATCAAACTGCCCGTGCCCGGGATAATTATTATGGTTTACGAGGGATGAGGCGTTTGTACTCCATAATATAATATAGTACCGTCATAATCGATATCACAATTATTATCACCATTGGTCATCGTCAGCAGCTGCAGTGTATCTGGTAAAAAGAAAAAAGGGGAGACTAGGCCACCAGGGTTTGGCAATTTCCGGAAACGTAACTTGGCGGGAATTCCCGGGAAGATGGAAAAATTCACAACAATCAAATACTGTTTTCATTACCTATATTAAGGGGCCTGGTCGCGATTTTTCAAATTTTCCGCAATTCTATAAAATTTGAAAATTAAATTTTATATTTTAGTTGCCACCTCAATTATAAGACTTTTCCACTAATCTACTGCCCAATACCTATTTAGGGGGGGTTGATAGGGTTATATCGGTCAAAACACAGTTTACAGGAAAAACTCTCACACCTCGTAGATTTGTCCGATTTCCGTAATTTTTTTTTGTTAGATAGAGGAATATTTTTTACAGGGCGCATTGGACTTCGATTTTTGATTACGTCGCTAAAAACAAAAAATAATACAAAAACTAAAAAGTTGTAAAAATTGATTAAATTCAAACTTGTAACATAAGACTTAGAAAAATAATTTTGAAAATCCAAGTCCAATGCGCCCTGTAAGAAGTCTTCCTCTACCTAACAAAAAAAAAATTACGGAAATCGGACCAATCTACGAGGCATGAGAGTTTTTCCTGTAAGGCATGTTTTTGAGCAAAAAAACAGCTCGCGTGCAGGCCCCTTAATCAATTGCGTATTTCAATTGGATATTCAATTATTTTGATCAAATACAGGCATATACAGTACATAGGTACCTATAAATAAACTTATGAGTGAAAAAAAACTAAGTTGTTATTTTCATTTAATCGATTATACATTTATAGAACACAAACACACATCATTGTAGAATTGATACATTCATTCGCTGCGCACAGAATCAATAATAATATAAATATTTTACTAATAAAAAGACTAAGAGGAATTCGTGCTCAAAACATTATCATTCTAATGACAGTTATAAATTAAAACTATTTATGATAAAATAAATAAATTAAAATTGAATAATATTAAATCAACTATATGATATGCCGGATGTAAAAATGTACACCCCACACTTCAAATAGCGGCATCTATGATGAGTAGGTATTTAATTAATTATAGTCATAATGTTGGACCATTTTAGAAGTATTTTTGTGAGTAATTATTGACCAAAAGATTTACAATTATACTTTCTTAGAACTTTAAATTATATCAAAATATGTAGCGAATAGCGATGACATTGTAACCCACATCACGAGATAATTTATTATGATAGATGTAGGTATCATGTTTACAGCTTTTAGATGTGAATGTCAAGTATTAAATCAAAACGTATCGAAAAATCGAAGTTACTTAGTAATTGGTAATTCATAATATTTATCCACTTGACGATTATAAGAGTTTTTTTAATACGAAAATACAGAATAACAGTTATTCTTTCTTTACTTTCTATCATAAAAATTAAGGGTCCAATACCAATGCAGCTTTAAAGCTTTGGGCACAATTTCTTACTTATCAACTTTAACATTCGCTTGAGATTAATAATAGTTCAGCTATGTTAACATTGGAACTATTCGCGTTTACATGTTTTACTGATTGATATATAATATGGCATGGATATCATTGATCGATTATAATACAATCATGTTTTAAAATATCATTTGAACTTAAAATTATAAAGTAGGTTAGTAAGTAAGTTTATAAGAAAACAAATTACTTACAAAAATATATTTTTTAATTTTATCTATTCCTGTAAACGATCCCGTTCACATGACTTTCTAAGAATTACGAGGAATGCTAAAAACAATAAATGCACATTCAATAATCATAAGAATATAATATTAAATATTTAAAATATTGAAGTAATTGTTGGAAGGCCTATAAGTGCGTATGTACTACATATTTTCATAAATACACTAGGTAATGAACGAGATGAGCGTGAGTCTTAGACAATCTTAGACTTAGACTCAAAGGTACATATTGTCTATACAGTCTTCGTGTCATCCCTCATCGTATTCATCCCCGGTCACATAGTATAATAATATATATTTTACATTGAGCTTTTTAGTTTTTTTAATTTCTAGAACCAATATGGAAAGATCTATGACGACAATATGTCAACCGTGACAACGGGTTAAACGTATATAATACTAAAACAATGACTAATAAACACGCGCACACATAACATAATATAGTACGCGCGTGTTCGTCAATAATATATTATTCGTTGCGTCGAAGTCTCCCCGAGGATGGCGTCGACGTGCAGGTCTGCAGGACGATTTTCGTCGCGTCCTTCCAAGGACGATGACGACTGACTCCCACGCGGAGGTTTCACTTTCGCCACGTACACACCTCGGTCGGTCTGCTCGTATATAGGTATATGGATCGGATTGGACTCGGACCAAGACACGATGACCCGCATAAAATTATACTCGCCGGACATCATTGTCGTCTCGTCTATACACTATTATATTATTATTATTATTATTATTATAAAGAACCGTATTGTACTGTGCCATCGCCGGGGCTGATAAGGCATTCTGGTCGCGCGGCCACGTCTCCATTACGACACGGCCCCCTCCGCTCGCCCAGTTGGCAAACGGCCCCTGTCCAGTGTCACCCGCGGGTGGGTGTCGTATTCGGTCATCATCGAATCCACGGTGTAGGGGCAAACCGAAAAGGACGCATTGTGGGGGCGTCCCCAGACTACTATATAACCGTCGCCGGTGACCAGTGTCAATCACATCCAATTCGACTCTCAAGTCCATCCGGTAATATCCGATAAACAACCAGCACAGCCGTCGCAGTAACAGCACAAAAAATCACCGAAGAAATGGCATTCATCAAAGTAAGTAGTATTTTATAGTAATCACATATTTACGACCGACAGTTTAGGCCGCATCGTCCATATCTGTCGGCTTGTAAATTTTATATAAATATAATATTTTAATCGATTTGTTTTCATCGACGCAGTCTTCATTGGTCTTGGCCGTAGTGGCAGCCGTCGGCCGCTGCGAAGTACGCCTACTTCCCGGCGCCGCCCCATCCCCGTACGCCTACCCAGGACTGTTGCCGTACTCGGCCGCACCCGCCGCTTACCCATACTCGGCCGCACCAGCTGCTTACCCGTACGCCGCTTACCCATTCAGAGCGCCGCTCTTGCCGGCCGCCTCCCGTGCCGTGGCATCCCCGCTGCAAGCGTTCCCGGCCCCGGCCGCTCGCTTCGCCGCCGCCCCATTCCCAGCCGCAGCCGCCGTAGCACCGTTCCCAGCCGGTGCACCGCTGGTCCGCGCCGCCGCACCGTTGCCCGTGGCCGCCGCCGCACCGTTGCCCGTGGCCGCCGCTCCTGCCGTGGCCAAGCTCGACTTCACGGACGCCTACCCGCAATACCAGTTCGCATACACAGTCCGAGACTCGCTGACCGGTGACGCCAAGGACCAAGAGGAAGTTCGCGACGGTGATGTGGTCAAAGGCCGCTACAGCTTGATCGAACCCGATGGCAGCCGCAGGACCGTCAACTATTACGCCGATGACGTCAACGGATTCAACGCTGTCGTCCAAAAGGACGTGCCAGTGGTGGCTCCAGCCGTCGCCCCTGCCGTAGTGGTATAATGACTGACGCCGTATACGATCATCGCCGCCACTGACTCCGCCGGACATAATCTCCATATATATATTACGTGTATTTTTATTTTATGTTTGTGTTTTCTTTTTGTACATAACTTTTTCCTCACTGTTACCTATATTATATTTTCTTCTATATTTCAAGGCAATAAATAAAGTTTCTAACTCTTAAACATATTATATATTGTGTCTGCGTACATTTTTTTTTATAAAATATGGTTAGGTACATCCTCTATACTTATAACCATGTAAGTGTTTAGGATATATTCTATCAATGATAGCCCTGCGAACCGCAAAGTCGACTTTAAGTTCAAACCGCCAGGCGCCAGCCACTTACCTACTCTCGAGTGTGCGTCAAAAATAATATTTCATTCTGACAACATTTTTTCTGAGGTATTATTGTTCTTATAGATGCGTTCGTCTATCATTAGTCACTATCTAGATAGTGAGTTACTATGTTTATGCATAAGAGAAAGCTTTGGAGTTTGGAGGATCAGTCCTTCCCAAAAATGGTGCAAGCCGACTCAAAAGCATTTTAGAAAAAAATTAAATTACACAGTTCAAAAAATAACTATAGAGCGTTACAAATATGAGAAAAACTAGTTCAATATATTTGAATATATTATTATCCTTTGAGTGATGAATATTGTGTATCGATGATATTATATAATTATTATTACCATAATATAGACACCGAATCTTGATGATTCGTATGGTATATATACGTCATAATAATAATATTACTAAATTGAACCATGCATCCTAAATATGAATAATATAGGTACTCTATTATACTCTGATAACTCTGTAAAGGTCTATAAAGGATACCTATAATGGAGCATATTAACATTTTCTGCACAAACTGAATGTAGAATAAAATTAACTATAATTATTTTCCAAGTTTATAATTGTGTACCTATAACACTTTGTGTATTGTATTAATTTTAAATGATATAATATTTTTTGTCATCGACCGTTCAAGTTGTTGTTGCTACTTTTATAGTATGGACTGATAAAAATCCTCCCCTCTACCCCCACCCACTCAAAAAAAAACCAAAAACCAAATGGTATTAAATTATTGTGTGCATTTAGACTTAAAATGACTTGCCCATGTTTTTCAGAAAACACTTATAATATTATCCCTAAATGGTGACCCGTTTAGTGATTTTTATTCTTCAGTTACGTTTACCAAGGAACAAACCCACTTTATACTATACACAATAAACTCGCCCAAATAGTCCTAACTGGACCAGTGTATCCCAACCTGGGCTGCGTACATTTCTGGGGAGGCTCAAGCAGCCATCATGAAGTAAAATTTGTATTTATTTAATTATTTTTATTTTATAATGCAGGGACAACATTTAAATTAATAACTACCGGTTATCGCGTACCTATCGATAAAGTCTTAATAGCCGTTAAACAATCATAATCTTCTACTGCTGGGTACTACGTCTGCCGCCACGACGTCCGTTGATTAATTTTCTTCAATTTATAGGAGGGGACGAGAGATTTTTGAAAATCTACAAAGGAGGAGTAGAATAGAGGAGGTTGGGAACCACTGCACTAGACTGATCAGTCAGATTTTTGGTCGAGGATTATTGTCGTTGTACCTGCCTCTGTCACCACAAGCCACCATAATACCACCTGTAGGATTTTGACACTTATATTATATTAATTGTACAAACTAGTATTATAAAAGTGTGCGATGAAAGTTGGTATGATTTTCGACTGCGATTCGTTTGCACTTCGCAGTTTTAGTACTTCGCATTGTGTTAGTTGAAATTGTGATGAGGAACTTTAATCGAGTAGTTCTACTCACGATACGTCTGCCGCAGGATTGTTTGATTAAATTTTAAAATCCGTCTTAAGTTTATTAGTACAATATAGTCGTACCTACATATTATACCTAAAACTGTGATATCTATAGACTTGAAACTCCAGCATAATATATTTATTTTTAATTTATTGCACTAACATTTTATGATCGAGTTGTGTTTAATGAATTATAATATATTATACTGAAAAAACAGGAGATTAATACAATAAAACATACATTCTGTTGATGCGTGTATCATATATATATAAATATATTCCATAGGTTCATTTTAATAATTCAATTTAGAGTGGGCTTATCTTTTTTTGTTTGTATGTAAATAAACACGAGTGTCTCATTACAGCAAAATTTTTGGCTGCGTTATCACTTATCAATAAATTTTTACCAAATCAGCTGTTATCATAGATTGAATAATTTTACCGCCAAATTTTAAATATATTATTATGAATTATATTATATATAAAACTTCATTTATTGAATTCCCAGATAATTTTTACATTTATTTGTAGAATGTTTATCAAGATCCCATTGAATTCCCAAAGCACTCACTATCTATTTGTAGAAAGTTTATCAAGATACCCACTAAGTCTAAAAATCATTTCTTGACTGCGCTATTTACTGAGATAAATTCTTTGGTTATTTTGTTTTCAAATTATATTTGTGATTTTGTTTTATTTTTATTTACCATAATGGAATCTGAAATAAAATGTTCAATATGTGACAAAAACTTTACACAAAAAAAAAATCTGAACGCACATTTACGGAATATTCATAACATAGAACCAGTGTTTACCGATTTTTTGTGTGATATTTGCAACAAATACTTTAAAACTAAAAACACGTTGGACACACATATCAAAAAGTCATAAAACTCAAATCTCAAAACCTTCCATAAATGAAACTAATGCAATAATAAAATAAATTTAACGGTTTTATGTTTGTTCTGTGGTTTTAACTTTTATCATTCAATCTATGATAACAGCTGATATGGTAAATATTTTATATAAGTGATAACGCAGCCAAAAATTTTGCTGTAATGAGACACTCGTAAATAAACAACACGATTTATTGGCATTGCTAACCTGTTTTGAAAGGTAAAGTTAAAAATTACATTAATATACTTTAAATAATTTACATAATATACGTTTATAAATAAGTAACTATGGTATGTATAACCCCGTATAGGTAATAACATTTATTTGTAGTTTTGATATAATTTAGGTACTTTTTTTTAAAATAATATCTATATATTATACAAATTTTATAATTGGATAATGTGTCATTAAGAAATATTCATTTTAGTTTCTATACTTCCTTTTTTGTATAGAATACTTAACAACTTATATTGTCATCAGTTTCGTGCCTTACGGTAACATGAAATTACTTTGTGTAGATATCTTATTTATTATACTCCTTATTTAGTAATATTTGTAAAGTGTTTTTTTTTACAGAAATTAAAATAGTTTTTAATGATTAATGTTTTTAAAAAGTATCTTTTCAGCTCAAACATCTTAATTGTATATTCTGAACAGTCTGGACATGGTTTAATGGTCCTATAATTTATAATGCGTTTTTGATTAATTTTCGTTTCCTCGATCAGTCGTACCGATCGAATCATAGTCGATTTGTGTTACAATCTCATGGGTTTTATTTCGCATACCGCGACCATCATCCAAAATACTGAGCAATTATTATTTTGTTTTAAATTAATTAATTACATTTTTTTATTTTAATTGAAGTTCAACTGCAGTAACAAAATAATATTTTCGTACCCTAAAGTGTATTTATTTTTGTACTATGCAAACGTATAACGTCGTAATGAAAATTATTTGGTAAAATATAATATTATGACGTGTGGACGAATGAATGAATTATAATAATTTATCAACTGGTATTATATTATAATACTATCAGTCAGTTCCAGCTAATTCGTTCATATGTGAAATACAGTATATGAGACAAGTGCAGAACAAAATAATATTTACTTATGTTTGCATTTTATACAGAAAATATGCGATTTAATATATTATTTTACCTTGTCCGTGCTGGATGTTTTCTTTCGCGTTTCTTGTACACGTTAATACCTATACCTACATTATCATATCATATTCTATTAATTCATTGTAATTAAATATAAATTGAACATTAAATTCTCATTTTTCTTATACAACACCGAACAATAGGTACTTGGCGTACGAGAAATTTCTAGTGTATAATTCAATGTTATAACTTATTACTTATAATGCAGTATGTGTTACACCGTCACATATCGTTATGACAGTACATTTTTTTCGTGTAGTATAGTGTATACCACCTAGGTATAACATTCGATATCGAAATCCTTAATCGCTCCCATCATGACGCGCGTCACGATCGATCGATAAGACATAAATATTATTGTAGCTCATGATTGTACAATACCATATAATATTATCATCATTATTGTTTAATATTGTCCAGATGATCCTCGTCGCGTTTCGGGACATTTCCGTTTTAAATAATATGGCGCGTAGCGAGTGATAACTGGTCGTCCTCAAACAACAGGTGGCTAAATATACGGTCACAACTCACTATAATAGACATTATAATATGCGCTACAGATCCTACGTTTTTGTTATAAATTATAATGTTACACTTACAAGAGGAGGCTCTCTGCGTACGATAATACGGATACCAGCGGAGGTGTGTCCAGTTGTATACGCAACGCTGTTTTAATATTGTCATCGCGTATATTGTTATTATACACAATATGAATTAATATTGTGTGTGACATGTGAGCGCGATTACGCGTCTTCGTCGACGACCGCAATAAATTGTGTAACAACCTCCCCCACCACCCGCACGCCATTCCACCCACCCACAAGGCGCCTTAATCGTTACATCATTTTTTTCCGCCGAAAATGCGCATACACTACTGCATTATATTTTAGAATATTATTCGTAAACAAAATCCTTGCCATTATATTACCGTCCGTAGAGTATAAAATATGATTATGGTCTGCGTATAATTCCACTTTGATACGAGCGAAAAAAAATTGTGCAACGATGCCTCGTGATGTTATTTCGGCCGATATATTATGGTCAGGCGTGTATAATATTAAAGAGATATACCTACGAGGCTACGAATGTATAATAGTATTAATAATTAATAATA